ATATATATACACATACATACACACATATATATACACATACATACACATATATATACACATACATACACACATATATATACACACATATACATATACACATATATACACGCATTGGTTGGTGTTTTTCCTGCACCGCTGAACAACTGCCGTAAATGTTGGATTAATTCCACTGCATAAAAAATGCCCTTCAAAATAAAATCACAACTTTTTGTTTTTTTTTTGTCAGGCAAAGGCCCGCGACCCACTGAAAACAGGTCCGCGACCCACTTTTGGGTTGTGACCCACCAGTTGAGAATCACTGGTGTAGATAACACAGATACCACTTCAACGGCCACGGGCGGGCTGTCGGAGTGGTAACAGGGTTAGTTAAATTTTTTTTTTTGGAGTGGGATTTTATGCTTGATTGTACCTCCTATATTCTGCTTGGCAAAAATGATGACTGTCCAATTGTCAATGGAGTCTGGGGGTTTTGAAGAGAGAAATATAACGGCTTCACATTGAAGTGGATATGGATTAGAGCACCAGAAAAAACGTAGTCTAGACACCTAAAAAAAAGTGTACCCTATATTTAGATTATTTTCAATGCTTAACCTTGCCATCAGACAGACCTTTCTGACAGGGAGCTGAACCCGTTATGTCCATCGAGGCTCTCTTTAAAACCACAAGACTCCATTGACAAAAACAGTAGTTTTAGCTCACAGAACACACGGTCGGTCTACCGCCGTTTGTTTGTGTTATTGTGTGACTTAGGATCTCAACTAACGTGGCGTCAGAGATGGGCAGTATTTCTATTACTTGTATTTGAAATACGTATTTCAATTACTTTTGAGTATTTTGTAATTTGTATTTGATAGGGCCGATAAAAAATCTAACGTAATTTGTAACAAAATACTTTAGAGTGGAGTAATTTTGTATTTAATATACTCAAGTGCATAGCCAGTGTTTAGCAAGTTAACTTATCAGTCGAGTAGCTAGCTATAGGAAGAGGGAGATTGGGAGCTTGTATGTTCATGATAACCTTATCAAGAGACGTCTGACCATCTAATCTTGCACTGTATTACAAGTTATGCTGTATCTTCTCAATGGGAATGTCATATCAATTACTGGCAGATAATATTCTTAGTTTTAATAAAAATATATATACATAATCAATCAAGTTGTTGTCTTTTAATAGCTTTGCTTAGTTACACTGACATTCTGTGATTCTTCCTTTTTGTGGGCTTCACCAGAGCTTTGTGTACATTATATAGCCCAAACCGGAATGCTCTGCTATACCAAATTGTGAGAAAACGGAAAATCCAGAAAAAAGTATTTCCTATATATTAAATACAAAATACATGTATTGTATTTTGTTACATTTTCTGGCACCAGTATTTAGTATTTTATTACATTTATTTGAGGGGTATTTTGTATCAAAATTTTGATGTATTTTTGCCCATCTCTGCGTGGCGTCCACAGCAGTACAGTGCCCGTGTTCTCCTGTCTGCTTCTCCAAACTGGGAGCGTCCCGACCTCCATCTAATGTACTGTATGCACTGACTATATACTGTATATGTAGTATCATCATGCAGAAACCAGTATAATGTCATAGAGGAAAGGTTTTGTTTAAAAGGCTTCGGAAAATAGCATTTTGACACTTTAACATGCATACTAAAATTTAAATACATAAGGAACATCACTGGGAAGCTACAGAATGATATACAAACCTAAAAATAATAATAATAATAATAATAATGGACCCACCCTTTAAATAATGGTAATGTTTCTGATTTGCTGAGGAGGCAACAGTGTTGAAAGAACGTGGCTGTAAGTCACACTGAGCATGGTGAGTCACAGTTACCAACAGACAGAAGTGGATCTTGGTCATACCTTTACTTGCTTCTTCTTGATGAGTGGTCGCACTTTTGCAAAGTCATAGAGCTCAACATCTTCATCCAGCCACACCTGCATGGAGCAGACAGCATTTCAACAACCCAGCAGACAATGAACAAAGAAGCAGCAAACTCTTTCTAACCTCGGGGATTCTGATTGATATGGAGAACTGATAAACTGGTTGTGTTACCAGCACAGACTATTTTTTCATTACTTGATGAAAAATATTCATGAAAACTCGTTCTGAGGACAAGCTCATTTGCATGTATGTAGAACATATTATTCAGTCCTCAATAAAAGCATTAACCAGTAGTGAGGTGCAAACATACATTCCCAATATCCTCATTAGGTCCTGATCTCCGTGCAACCAGACTGAACACTTTTAGTCACGATAGACAGCATTTGATGTTGAAGATATTCTCCACAGAAAATCTCTTGAATGGTGAACAGTCTCCCCCTGCAGACTTAGTGGATCAGTCATGCAGACCAGTACCAGAAATGCCTCTGATACAGCCTAAAATGCAGGATCGGGTATCGGCGAGCACGCGAGTCTATGCACTGATCCGCTATCCTATTATGGTATCACATATCAGCTCATTACGCTACACAGGCACAACAACACTCTGTACATTCTCCCCGTTCCTTACTGCACATGTGCAAACTAGTACAGATCAGCAGCAGGAGAGCTAGGTAACATCAGCAGCCAGTGGGCAGCACGGTCCTGCTTGGCTAAATAAGAGCGCTAACAGCTGTTAAAGCTGATAATTGTGATGCGTTCAAGCTCCATTCAGTAAAGATGAGTATTGGGCGAAGGTCAATTAAGCTGTGCGTTCAGATACCCACACTACCGTGCTATTTAGTATGCCAAGATAAACATCATGCTGTATTGAAGAAGATTTGAAACTAGAGATTCAGACCATAAACTCATGTTTACAATGTTTACTAAGGTAATAAATCAAGAGAGAAGTAGAGTAATTTTCTGATAGACTTCTATACAACCAGAAGAGCCGCCCCCTGGTGGTCAGTAGAGAGAATGCAGCTTTAAGACATGAAGCACTGGCTTCACTTCTCAGAACAGGAGGTTTCCACCTGGTGCTAACCTGACCTCCATTCAGGACCTGTACTCTCCCAGAGTCAGGAAACATCACTGCAGACCTTTCACCCTCTGGACACAACCTGTTTCATCTTCTCCCCTCTGGGAGGCGCTACAGAACCCTGTACGCAAAAACTACCAGACACAAGAACAGGTCTTTTTCCCCAAAGGCCCATGAACACTTAAATCAATCATGCAGTGTCAAAAACGCCCTAACACCAGACACCCACTTAATGAATAAATCATATATTATAGTTTAAATACTCACTGTTTTATAGCCTGTTAATATCATCACTACCAATATAAATACAAGCATAGCTGTATATACTGTCATACCCACCTTCCTCATGTATACAAAGCTATATGCATAAAAAGCTGTTACATTAATCCTCCACTTATTCCAGCAACCTTTTGCACTACTCTATTGCAGTTTACAAATTAGTTATTTATCTGTACATTGACAGCAATGCAAAAAAAAAATAATTGCACTCACACTGTACATCAATGTATTTTTTCAAATTCTTGTTTTTGTCATGAATACTTTCCCTTGCAACGCAAAATATTACACTGAAGCGCGAATAAAGGCATCAAACAATCACATTGTGAGGAACGGACATATTGAAAACTCACGCCTGTATTGTACAACAACACCCCTGCCTGCGTGAATATATATATATAATAATTAGTGCTGGGCAACGATTAATATTTTTAATCGCATGATTTTTTTGCGATAAATCGCATTGTTATGCACAAAGTTCAATAATTAATTCAAAAGTAGTGTATTGCGCACTTTTATTTTAACAGTACTGCTATATCAACAAAAGGTCAATAACATTTGGTTTGCAAACACTTTAAACACAGACGAAGTGACGCCACACAAACACAGCTGTTCACTGCTTGCTGCCTAGTTCTTGTGTTAAAAATGTTGCTTAATAATAAAAATAAACAAAAGTGCATTAACGCGTGATAATATAATTGTCGGCATTAATTAATGTTAACTTGCCCAGCACTAATAATAATATATAACCTTTTATAGACAAAGGGTTGCAACTGTGGAAATTTGCATAGTTTCTGATACGTAACAGTTTTGAGACAAAATATTCTCAGTCAAGTGTTTGCATTTTCGTCCCCAGTGTGTTAAGGCCTTCCCTTGGTCATTGAAGCTGATTCAACCAAACATGAGCTTCATTGTATTTACTGCTGGGTGTTCTGTGCTGTTTTGAATTGTACTGTTTATTCGGTCTACCCATGCAGAAGCAATAGTCCTCCAGTTAATAGAGGCATATTCCGCAGTAGTGGAACAAATGTCCCCATGAAGCCGCTAACATCCGGCAACTTGTTACTTCCTCACTAAGCACCACATGCAGTTATTGATAAAAATAAAGAATAAGAATGAAGCACCTGGTTCTTGATGCCGTCGTCTCTTGAGAGATCTGTGGTGTTGAGCTGGAGGACCATAAACTGGAAAATTCTGCCGTTGGTCCCCACTGCCTGTACTGTTATGGGATGATCTAATACACGCTGGGGCTGGCTCTGACAAACACACACACACACACAGTGTAAGAGGTAGAAAGAGACAAGGATCATTATGGAGTTTAAGAATGTGGATCAGCAACTGGTAATACTGTATGTTCACAGACTTGCTGTGTATAATGGTGCCCTGCTAAAAGTGATGCGTACATCCTTACCCCATAAAGTGTGTGCGCACGGACCAGAGCATTTCCAAAGGTGAACATGAGCATCTTGGCTCTGAACTGCTCTGGCCGGAGCTTACAGCCAGCATCGGCTCCCTCCAGAAAGTACAGCGTGTGGGCATGAGGATAAGGGTAGTCACCCCTGAAACCTGATTGGATGACAGACACATCATTAGCAGGACGGAGCACTGGACAAAGTGACACACTCCTTGTCATACACACAGCCTCAGGGAAAACACACACACACACACACACACACACACACACACACACACACACACA